AAATATATAAAATACTACTTGTATAACTGAATATATAAGTTTATATACTGATTTTTCAAATTATATTACTAGCTTTAATTAAAAAAATTCTTTTAGAAATATTACAAGAAAAATAATATTTATTAAAAATTGGTACTTCAGATTTTATAACAAAAGAACTTGCAGATTTTGAGCAAATTTTTTATAAATTATTAACACTTAATAAAGTAGAAGTTAATATAGATAAATTATATAAAAAATTAGTAAATAATATAAAATCAGAAATAAAATATCAGTATCAAATGTTATTATTTTGAAATCAGATAGTAATTTATATTCAGATAAAGCAGTTCATAATACTTATAGCATATTTTTAATAATGTAAGTAAAAATGTTAATCAAAATAGCAAACTTGATATAGTTGCAAATGAAGATATTTTTTGATATTTAATTTTTTATTATGAAAAACAATCAAATTCAAAAATTCTTTTAGAAGCTTGGTATACAAATAAAGAAATATATTTGATTTTAATTGAAATATTTTCTGATTATGAAATTTTTAATCTGATAGCACATCTTAAAGTATATTTTTTAGATAAATTAGAAAAAGTTATTAATTATACAGCAACTTGTCATATATTAGAATTCATATGAATCACAGTTAGACTTATATTAAGTAAAATTGCTAGTAATAATTTTGCAATACTAAAAAATAGTAATGATCAAATAGTTAAAGTTTGGCTTCTTTATTTTGAATAGGATAGTTATTGGATAAGATATAAAATTGGAATTTGATATGGATATTGTCAAATGCAATTTCAAAATTTAATTGTATTTGTATCACTTTTTGCAATGGCTGGCAAAAATAATTATTCATATTCAGTTACTTATTTTTTATACTATTTATTAGAAGATCCAGAATTATGTATATTATTACAATATATTTCATCTGTAAATTTGACAAGAAAGGAATATTATTTTGCATTTATGAAGCTCTTGAATATTTTAGTATTAAATATTTAAAGAAAATATTGAATATCACTTAGGAGATGAAGAAAAATTATTGTCACAAATAAATTTAATACAACTGAAAGAGAATATTTAGATTTGCTCTTACATGAATATGTTGGAGATGATATTATAATTCTTAAAGATTGTAAATCAATATCTTGACATGATGCTATGCATAGTTTAAAATATCAATTAATTCAAGTATTTACTCAACAAGGAAATTTTAATATACACGAAATTTTTCAAAATACATCAGAATATACAGAAAAAGGCTTTAATAATTTATCTACTTGTTATAATATTGTCATTAAGAGGCTAAATAATATTCATTCTCAAGAAATTACCAAAAATATTACTAAGGGTGAAGACAAAAAAATGTGAAAACTAATACAATTTATCAACAAAAAAAATCTGAAAAAATTCACAAAAATATAAAAAGACAATTGCATTTATTTAAAAAAGAGAATTCTGAAAATAATACTATTAAGAACAATAATCAAGAATCTGAAAGCACAAAAAGAAAATGAAAATATTTAACAAAATCAGAAAGTGAGATTTTTCAAAGATTGATTGAACTTGATATATTATCTCAAGAAGAAACATCAAAAGTACTTATAGAAATTTGCACATTATTTGATACTAAACCAGAGGATTGGGATATAAAAAGAATTCATAGTATTTGGCTTAGAAAAAGGTTAGCAAAGAAAAAAAAAGACTTTGCTAATATTAATAATGATAATGATACAATAGTATAATTCACTATTTTTTATTACACTTTGCAATTTTTATATTATTCAATATATTTTAATTAAGCTTTTACAATTTTTCTTTCAATTTTTTTTTGAAACAAAATCTGTTTTTATTTTATAAAACAAAATAAGTTTTAAGAAAATTATGTAGAAACAAAATTTGTAATCTACTTTATTTTTAAATTTTTTAGTAATAAAATTTGAGAATGATATTTAACTATCTATTATTTTTACTATCAATAATTTAAAGCTAATAAACTATTCAATATTTTATCTCTTGGCTGACTTAAAGTCTACATGATTTCATATATTTTGAGTTTTAAATTTTATCTTATGGAACCACAATATTATACATATATATGTATTTAAAATCAGAACATAAATAATGAAAACATTTAATAAAAGTTTACTACATGTATAATATACAGATATTATTGATTATAACTCATAAAATGCGAATTTTCAAGAATACACTAAGAACTCACCTACATACATGCAAAATAATATGATACGAAGAAAATTATGTAATTACTGCTATATTTATTATACTCAAAAATTCTTTTTTCATAGAATTTTTCGTTTTAAAAATTCTCATAATCTTTTAATTTATTAACGTTAATATCAATAACTTTGTTGATATCAAGATCGGTTAACGTTAAAAATTTATCTTTGTAACACAATATATCGTAAAATCTTCACTATTTTTAATGATAACGCATTAGTATTTATAAGTCAATACACCGACTTTAAAAGAAGATCGTTTCAAGGTTTTTTTTGTTACAGCATTAATATTTAAAATACAAATAGAGCATATCTATAATTACTCTTTTTCTTAGAACGCTAAAATGATTTGTCTTTAAAAATAACATAAATGAAACAGACAAAGTGAATAAAATTTAGCTTTTTCATATGTAAAAACGTTCAATGTCGGTTGTCGATCATATAGTAAAAAAATTACATGTATCAATAGGGAGTGTACGATACCGTGAATTCACCATGGCATTTAAGCAAGACATAATTACAGTCAATTTCATAACTGGCCTAACTTTCCGAAAAATTATCTGTTAAGAAATTTTCCGGACACAAAGGACATTACAGACATATACATGTCATGCACATCGAAAAAAAGCCTCATTTACAGTGCGAATCATAAGTATCTGACCGGCAAAAATTTCATGTAATGCCAAAAAAATTTCTGACGTCTGGCAAACTTCTACATCGTTCATGAATCGCCGCCACTTTTGTAATCTCGACGTTCAGTGATTGATTCGAGCGAAATATTTTCGCTCGAATCGGTTCACTGAACGTTGAGATATTGCATCCTAAATTGACCGATTTGTATTTACTGTGTAGAGCATCCACATCCAAACATATAGTATATCCTCCATTGGTCTCAATTTATTGATTAATTTCATGAGGAAGACACGATTTAGGACGACGGAAGTGATTCAAGCAAAAATAATATCACCCAATTCTTCTCGATTAAATGAATCAAATGATATTATTGATTCACCAGCCAAAGCTTATTTCTCTTTGTCACCAATTACGTTTCAGATGCCCTAGACCTCAATTGCTCGTACCGTATTTTCGCGAAATAACGCCCATGTGTGTTATTTCGAATCATGGCCCGCATTAGGTTTAATTCAGGCCGGAATCTGAAATTACATTCTGCGCGTTATTTCGCGAAAATACGGTATGATCTTTTTTTCGGATATGAAATACTTCATATTCGCTGCTTGAAGCGAAACGGTATGCATAATCTTTACGAGATTTTTTGAATCCAGCCAGATTTACTTGTAATTAAATTATCTTGCGCGTGATTAATTAATTCGAGGATCTCTGTAGCAACTAGTAAACTAAAAATTCTTTATTGAGATCGATTACGCTAGTGTGTAAGTACCATATAGAATATATGTTATATTTTAATTCATTAAATAATATTATGAAATAAAATCATGTATATACTTGAGTAATGGTGAAATATTTGGTTTCTTAAAATCATCAGTTCTTCGCCCGCTCTTTTGACAATGCACGATAAAAATACGGAGAACGTGCACGCAGAATAAGAGAGTGTGCTTGAAACGTTTTCATGATTTGGTTTTCACCTGCAATGATACTAATATCATATTCGTCGGCGTTTTCTAAGAGTTTGATCAAATCTTTAACAAGATTTCTTATAAATTTAGGATTTAGCATGATCTTAGCAGTAACGGTTAGCGTTATGTACAAAAACTGACGTTCATATACATGTACAAAGTTGATCCAATCCAAAAGCAAACACGAATAAAATAAAACATGTGTTAATTCTCGCCACTAAGTGTCGAGATATTGCATTCTAAATTGACGATTCATTGTACATGTACATGTATTTGCTGCGTAGATATTTGATGAGCATCCAATTCCTTCAGTATTTTGTAATGTTCTTTGTGTTCGAAAATTTTGGGAGAGGGGTCAGTTACTTATGAAGCTGGCTTAACATTTTTATTTTATTAGTTTAATTACGTTTAAAGCGAAAATTAGTTGCTATTTGTTTTGGTGAAAAGAACGTTTGTTTATTGTAATGCTTTTCTTGAAAAGTACATACTCTATATCGATATAGAATAAGTATCCTCCTACCTTCCCTCAAATTTATTTTTATTTTATTTTGTTTGAAATATATATAAACCGCCATTGGTTTCAATTTTATTTATCAATTTCATGAGGAAGACATGATTAGAACGACATCCCGTGATTCAAGCAAAAATAATACATGTACCATTCCATGTTTGCTCGAATTGATTTCACGACCTTGCGTCCAGCGTGACCGATTCATTTTATGTCAACAACAGACTGTAAACTCCGGAAATAATTTTGCTTTGATTTCAACACAACTTGCGTTTATCTTTATCAACAATCGTAGTAAAAATGCTTTATAAATTGTCTCCATAATAATAATTTATCGACAACGGAAAAATAAAATACTATTTTCTCAATAATCAAATCCTTACCAAATTTTCTTTTCGTTAATAGATAACAATAAAAATTAGTACATCGGTCTTTATATTTATTTCTTTTTTTTGATGAAATAAATATATAACGAGAAATTTATATGAAGTTTAGCCAAAATAAAAATCTATTAATGAAAACTATTTGTCTCAGAAGATTCAAAATACATGTAATAAAATAAAATGTACAAATAATACAAATAAGACGACAAGTATAGGACATTTAACGGCTATTGATTCACCAGAAACTCGGTCAGCCAAAGGTTTATTATTTTTATCACCAATTATAGCTCGTATTTCGAATGTGAAATACTTCATATTCGTCTACTAAAAAATGGCATGGTTCATAGTCGTCCAAACCATCTTTTTTATACCAGCTCAATGAATTGTGATCGCAGTTGTTGCTGATATATAAGTAATTATTGAAATAAGGTCCACCATTAGCTTGATATGTTATTTGGCTCATTGAACTTATACATGAAATTTCAGGAACACTTTTATCATCAATGGAAAATACAGATACATTATACGAATTACGTGTATTATTGACAAATCGCGCCCATGTTTTTTTTTTGATAATATTGACGTTATCATTCCAATTGCTAGGATTATAACCACCAATAATTTCTCTAGAATGGCTTATTCTCACGACTACTACAGTTCCTGTTTGAGTTCCACAAAGCTCATGGAATTTCTTAGCTTCGAAACCATCCCGACTGGCACGATAAAGGAGTTTGAATTCACAAGGCGATTTAGGAGAATTTTTATAGATAAATGATGAAATTAACTTAGTGCATTCGTAATTTATAATGTTAGAGTCAATTGAGTGTCTCGGAGGCAAAAGTTTGATAAGTTGTGGAGTAGAATTTTTAAGGTAATATGCCAAAATTTCTATTTCGATATCCTCCGGGATAATTTTCCGATAAGGCATTATCTTTTCAAAATAATCATCACTTGTGATATCTCTATATCGAATTAATGGGATGCACTGATGGAGCGTTTTTTTTAGAGCATCAAAATCTTGAGACGTCCACTTTGACACAGGTTGATTGGGTAAATTCAAAGTGTTTCCCATTCCCCATTTGGTAATTGAATTCCAGATTTCAATTTCATCCATGTTTAGGTCATTACGTTTGAGCAAAGACACAAGCATTGATTCCTCTAGAGATAAAAAATCACTAGATTTGAAAATATTTTGAGGTTCTTCGTTGATAATTTTAAGGCAATGTTCGCTCAACTTCTTGAATGATTTGTGAAGCGAGACGGTATTCACAATTTTTACGAGATTTTTTTGAATCCAGGCAGATTTTCCTGTAATTAAATTATCTTGTGCGTAAATAATTAATTCGAGAATCTCTAATTCATCTGCAGCGACGAGCAAACTCAAAACAACGTCTCCGCTTTCTTTATTGAGATCGATTACGCTAGTGTAGAAGTACCTACATAGAATATATGTTATGTTTTAATTCATTAAAGCATAACATGGAAATAAAATCATCACATACTTGAGTATAAGCTCAAAAATTTGCGGTGAAAT